TGATATGTTATAATGTACATAAACTATCTAGTAAAATAATACAATACATAATTTTTAAATAGATACATTTGTGTTCAAAAGTTTCTTTTTGACAGGGTCAAGCAAGGGAAGTTTTGGGATACCAGTTCATTTACACAGTTAATAATAGTGCCTGCTAGGTGGCTCTGTACCATAAGCACTGGACTGGGAACCATAAATTCGGCAGTTAGAACTCACCAACCGCTCCAAGGGAGAAAGATGAGGCTGTCTGCTCCTGGAAAGATTTAAAGCTTCAGAAACACTAAACAGGGTTCCTAGGAGTCAGAATTGATGCTACAACACTTAACAACAACAAAAAGTTGATAGATGTTAATCAAATTTGTGAATGTCTGTTCCTCACAAAGTATTATCTAAAAAGTAAAGAATAAATATAAAAAGACAATTGATAAAGGACTTGTATCTAGAATATGTAAACAACCCGCCCAGCTCAATTACAAGAAAATAACCTAATTTTTTTTTAATGAGCAAAACAAAATAACTTCAATGAAGTTAAATGGGCAACAAATAAGCACATGGTAAAATTCCCAGCATCATTAGTCATTTGTTGTTGTTGTTTAATGCCATCGAGCCAGTTCTAACCCATAGCTACCCTGTATAGGGTTTCCGAGGAGCCACTGGTGAGTGTGAACCACCAACCTTGCAGTTCAAACCGATGCTGCAGTCGAGTGCTTATCCTACAGGGCCACACCAAGACTCCTTAAAGATTACAGCTCCCGGTATTCCCAGGCAGTCTCCCAACCAAGTACTAACTAGGCTTGGCCCTCTTAGCTTCTGAGATCACACGAGATGGGGCACATTCGAGGTGGTCTGGCTGCAGACCCTGGTAACATAGTGGTTACCCATTGGGCTGCTAACCAAAATGTCAGCAGTTTGAATCTACCAGTCTCTCTGTGGGAAAAAGATGAAGCTTTCTGCTCCCTTAAAGCTTTGCTGACTTGGAAACCCAGTGCAGGGTCGCTGTGAACCAACTCTCAGCCCATTACTACCATCAGCCATGAGAACAATGACTCACTATTGAATCCTAAGAATCTTATTATCCCTGGTCTCCTTTCACCAAAGCCGTCTAGACAAGATGAAAACTATTCAGTGAAGATTCTACCTGCCCTGAACATTCTCAAACTAAACTCCCTCAGTTTTGACTCATAGCAACTCATTCTATAGGGTTTTCAAGAGCGGCTGATGGGTTTGAACTATAGACCTTGCAGTTAACAGTCCAGTGCTTACTCTACTGCACCATACCAGGGCTAAAAAAACCTATTATAGAGAAGAAGAAAAAAACTGCTGGTAAGGATGTGGAGCAACTGCAAAATATGACAGCCCTTATGGAATACAGTCTGACTGCTTTTTATAAAGTTAAATGGACATTGGGCATGTAACCCAGTAAATCCCACTCAGGTGTCTAGCCAAGAAAACTCCAAACAGGTGTCCATACAGAAATCCGTACATTAATATATATACAGCAGCCTTATTCATAATTGCTAAAAAATGGGAAGCTATACAAGTGTCCATCAACAGAAGACTAAGGAAACTGTGGCACATCCAAAGAAGGGACTGAAATTGATACATGTCACCAACAAGGTTGAACCCGTAATGCATAATGGTAGGTGACAAAAGCCATTGTATGACATTTCAGAAAAGGTAAAACGATATTGGCAAGAAACATTATCAGAGGAGGGTGAGAAAAAGGAAGTGACTGTACAGAAGTTCATGGGGAGCTCTGGGGAGAAGGTGAAAATGTTCTCTAGCTGAATTGTGATGGTAACTATAAAACTATCTACCTTTGTCAAAATTCACACAACTGTATCCCTAATGAGGGTGGATTTTATTCTAAGTAAATTAAACCCCATAGGATAAACACTGGACTGCAAACCACAAAGTAGGCGATTCAAGCCCACCAGCTACCCCTCAGGAGAAAGAGTAGGCTGTTTGCTCCCACAAAGATGTACAGCCCCAGAAACCCTACACAAGGTTGCTGTGAGTCGGAAAGGACTGGATGGCACTTAGTAACATCAAAAACCTAACTTCCCCGTATCAAGGCATCTCGTCGTGAATTTTCTGAATACTGAATAGAAACAGAAGATTCTCCAAGTTTAGGAAGGAGGTAAAACAGACTCCATAAGGAATCATAATGGTCTAAGACATCTCAACAATAAATGCAGAAATCGAAAGGCAATGTGGTATCCCTGGGTGATGCAAACAGTTCATTCACCTGGCTGCTAACTCAAAAGTTGTGGTTTCAGTCTACCCAGAGGTGACTCAGAATAGAGTCTGGCAATCCACTTCTGAAAAATCAGCTATTGAAAACTGTATGGAGCACAGTTCTGCACTGCTTTTAAAAGCAATGGGGCTCGCCTAGGAGACATCAGGCAAGCGATCGGGTCCCCTCAGAGCAAATCCCCTTCCAAGATTAAGACTCAATGGGAATACACGCTCTGATTGGTGACCACGTTCGTCACCAATAAGGGGAAGTGAGGAAAAAACATCAATGAAGCTGCGAGCTAAGCTCTTACAACGTTCAATAGACTCCTGTGAACCCAGGTGGACACCTGGTTGGGCAGCAGTGTGGCAAGACCTGGGGGCTCTTGGGCCCAGAGTCAGTGACATAGCCACAGAGGACCAGAGTAGAGAGTGAAACATCCAGCTGATAAGAAGAGAGGGCATATACCTAAGAGCACCCATACTTGCAGATACTGCCCACTTGACCTGACTTTGATGACTGGATGATCAGAGCTCAACTAGAAGAAAGAAGAGGACAAAAAGAGTAATCTGATACAATTTGATGAACTTGACCTACACCTATGGATGCAGTAGCTCAAAAGAGGGAACAAAACTCTTAATAGCGAGGATCATTCCCACCCCCTCCATACACAGAATAGATAGTTACAAGCTTTCAAGAGGTAACCTAAATCTAGAGGGTGTGGAGGAAGGTAGAATCTCCACTGAGTAGTATCCAATCTGTCTAGGTGGGGCTGATGAAAGGAAATGTGGATAGGTCTCTTGTGATACAATAGTGAATACTTGCTATCAAGACTGATTGTGAGGGTTGGAAATATAAAGGTAGACGTTTTGTAGCAAGGAGGGGAGTGATTAACTTTACAGTCTAGGAGTGGAGGTCCCTGGGACCGTCAAGGGAAAAGAGCAGAAAGCAGGACCGCTACCCAGACAAGCAGTGATGCCTGAGATGGAGGCGAGACGATGACGTGCAGGGATGGAGCAGCTGGGGACTTTAGACCCAGAGAGGGAGAGGGGCTGTGTGCTGATGACTGGAGGGCAGGCTTGCAGGGGAAACCCTTTGGTTTGCTGATGATGCATGGAGGGGACTGTAACCATGGCAATGAAACGATATACAATAGGATGAATGTAAAACTAATGTTTTCCCATGTAAACTATCACATAATTCACAACAAAACATTTATAAAAAAAAAAAAAAAAAAAAGAATGGGCCAATGCCTTTAAAATTTGGCAGGAAAATCAATTCTCAATCTATGAAACGATCCCCAGTAAAACTATTATTCAAATAATAGGGCAAAATAAAGACATTTTCAGACATGCAACATCTTAGAAAATTTACTTCCCATATACCTCTAGAAAGCTAAAGGACAGCTCTACCAAAATAAGGGAAAACACCAAGAAAGAGAACTAGGTGGGGATTCAATAAAAATGAGAGATGGAAGGAATCCCCAGAGTGAGGGTGAAGGGTCACATTCTACCACCCCAAAAAACTGACAGTTGTGCTCCAAATGTAAAGGGCAACCAGTCCCACATGAAGCAGGCTCAAAGACCTGGCAGGGATGGAATTAATAAAATACTTTGTGTCTCAACATTCTTAGATAAACCTAGAGAGTTGGCAAAGAATTTGGAGTCCAACTGGAATTAAGTACATAGAACATGAAGCAAAAACACAAGGCAACTGTAAATTCCAAGAAAAATAAAAATTTCTGTGGGAATGTAGACATAGTCAAAGGTTACTAATAATATAAACACAGAACACTGATCTAACTAAAATCACAGTATCAAGTAATAAAGATGGGAGATGTGAAGGTGTGCATGTTTGGTGAGAAAATGAGGATGGAGGAAGGGCCAAAAAAAACACCAAAAATGGAAAATTCAAGAAGCAGCAAAACAAACATGTTATTTAGAGGAGAAACTAAGTACTGTCAATCAGTTTTATAGAGAATATAAATCCATTGCCCCTGGGAAGGAAAAATGTTGGTAGTGGTGGGAACTGAAACTGACAAAATTATTTGACTCTTTAAACTATGACCTAGTAAGCTAATGTTTTGCCCATTATAGAAAATAAGATAAGGTCCTTGATTTCAAGGGATTCACAGAAATAAGTGCTACAGGAGTAGACTTACAGCACCTTGTGTGTTTAGGCAGGAGAACTTAGTTCTACCTAATTAGGTAGAGAAAGAAATCAAGTAACACACACTTGTATTTAATGTTAGGCCCAGAAAGCTGAACAAAGTGAAGCAGATCGGGAAAGGATGTACCAGCGAATCATTCATCATCACTAATCAGGCTGGGACTTCCGGTGTGGCGCTGTAGGATCAGCACTGGACTGTGAACCACAAGGCCGGCAGTTCAAACCCACCAGCAGCAATTCAGAAAGGTTGCTAAGAGTCGGAATTGAGTCGCTCTGAGTCGGAACACTTAACAACAACAAGCAAGCTGAATAAGCAAGCAGCTCAGAATCTGAAAGTAATGAATGACACCTACGAAGGTGATTACACGCCAGGGTGGTGACTGCATTCCACATCAATCCTGATTCTAGGAATGCAGACACCTGTGGTACGTAACACTGGAGTTGGGTGGGTAAGCAAAGGCTTTTCAGAGGCCAGGCTCGATCACTACCCTACCTCCCATCCCGGCCTGATCAACCTCCGGAGTGTTCTTTCCTAGGGATCAAAACCCGGCTAGAATTAGTCCCTAGATTCCTTTTACAGTGCAAGCCAACTCACCGACTCGGCTGCTGCTTCCTGTTCGTCCACCGCCAAGGCCCATGAGTCTGTGGCCATGGTCCAAGGAGCGAGTGGGGTGTTAAGGAGGGTGGACTCGTCAACCGGCGCTGCGCGATCGTGGGGTCGCTGCAAACCCGGCTCCAACCCCGTCGCGGGGGAAGTCATTCGCTAAGGCGCTGGGGACCGGAAGCGGCGCGTGTAAGTGACGTTCAAGACCACGCCGCCACCAGCCGTCCCTAGCCCCCATTCAGGTTGTGGCTTCCGTCGCCGTCCTGTCTACTGCGAAGCCCAATCTCTAACTAAACATCCAGAAGCGAGGCCTGAGGTCACCTTTTAAAAATGCCCACGCTCCTTTCAACTCTCCATCCAAAGAACAAAACCACTTTCCCGCCTAGTGACATAGATAAATTCAGCAAAACAAAGCGCCCAAGACATACTGAAACGAGCAGTTGGCCTTCTCATTTTTCTGGCTGGTCATTTAAAACGTCCAAGGGTTGACAAAGTAGTTGAGAATCAACCTTCTCAAACGCAATTTGATAAACAAACAAACAAAAAAAAACGTGTGCCAGGGGGAAAATGTCTCAGGAAGCGGATCAGAGATATAAAATAGCAACTGAGCTTGTGAAACTTCAGACAGTTGGTGGGGGAACAGTGGAGCGCACAGAGCTAATGAATTCAACGAAAAGGGCCACACGTAAAGCAGTTTAACCAGCAAATACATCAATTTGGAATTAGCTGTGCGTGCATTACAATTCCAGCTGAATCATGTAAGAGTTGTGTAATTGGGACAATTAAAAAAAAAAATCTCAGGCTTTTAGAAAAGGTAAAAATAAGCTTAGTGAGACATTTGCTTTCCCTTAACCAAATCATACAAACTTCTCTCTCTTCCCTTTTTTACTGTACTAGAAAGAAAGCTGGACATTTTCCTGCAACTGGAGAAAAGGAATCCTCACTCTGTTCATTTTTCCCGAAATAAATCCATTTCAAGCAATATTTGGGCTCTAAGTGGAACTTTACCTGTAAACATTAGTAAAATCATTTTGAGAAAGCGTAAAGCAGTCACAATGGGTAACAAAGTCTACATAATTACCTTTTCCTTCTGCACCCTAGCTGGGTTTATTAACAGGAGGGTTTTTTGCATCCTGCAGACGAGGATGTACAAACACAGCAGGTAAGCCATAACCTCATTCTATCAGGCATCAGAAGCCACTTCGGGAATATTTTGTAATGAGATATATTATATTACTTAACAGGTATAGAGGGATCTTCAAATAATGTTTAATCAGGTTAAAGATCAAATCATCGGAAGCAAGACTGTGCAACACCAAAATGCGCTGATCTGACAGTTGGCTGCCGAGCACTTTAACCACTGCACCACCATGGCTTCTATGCAATAGGCAATAAGATGCACGGAAATTCAGAAAGCAGTGACTGCTTCTGGTGAAGGACTGACTATTGATAAAGTCTGGGAGTCAACATACCCTTACCAGTATGTTAAAATAATACATGCCAACAACAAAAATAAACATCAGGATTCTAGACTCTCCTACATCACCGACTAGAGATTTATTTTCACGTGAGACTTTTGTATCTAGTTGCCAATTTGGGGCACTGAGAGAGAGGAGTGTTTAGGAAATTACGAGCACCTGGAGTTGCCATGAGTCTGAAGGCAACGGGTTTGGGTTTGAAGTCAACCTCTTACACTTACGCCAAGTTTCCTCCAAGATCGTGATTGAGTATGCATCTCATGGTTTAAAGATCCAAGGAGATCACAATATTAAGGTTTTTGGCTGAGGGTCTAGCAAAACTCCAGAAATAACGCTATTATGATTACCATTGCTACCACCACCATCCCATCCCCATGGGGACAAAGAAGACACAAAATGTGAAGATTCTCACTTCTCCCCTTAGAAATACTCACGTCGCCCACAGGTAGGGAGAGGGTAAACCGCCCCAGGGGACGGCCTCGGAAGCGGCCGGCAGCCCCTGCCATCGCCCCTCAGCATGGCGGTTACACTCTGTCAACGGCCTCCACGGAGCTCGGCTTGCTTGACTTAACTTGAGCCTCATTGGCTATAACCTGAAAGCCCTTGGCGCCAGCCAATCAGCTAAGGGGACGGCACAGCCCTGGGGCATGCGCTCTGGAAGACTGGGGGGCCCAAAGAAAGCGTTGCTCAGGGTACCTTTGTGTGTTCCTTTGTCATTTATTTGTTTGTTTTTGCTGAATATTGGACTCCATCCCTAGCCTGGGAACTCCATGAGGGCAGGCTTCTTTGCTTTCCTTAATGTTGATCCTCAGTGATTAAAGCATATTACACATCCTTTGGGTGAACAAACGGACTCCTGGTGTGGCACTATAGAGTAAGGACTGCACTACAAACCACAAGGTCGGTGGTACAGTGGTTCAAATTCACCAGCTGCTTCTCAGAAACCCTATATAGTGTCGCTATGAGTAAGAACTGACTCCGTGTTAACATTAACGGGTGAATAAATGGCTTCCTAGTGTGGCGCTATCAGTTAAGCAGTGGATTGATAACCACAAGGCCCAAGGCTCAAACCCATCTGCAGGTCCTCCAAAATCCTATACAGTTAAAATCTTATGAGTTGAACCCACTCCACTCCACAGCACTTTGCTACAACAAGAAAGTGAATAAATGGATGAGGGAGGAATGCACATTGCTGAGGATAGATCAAACTTAAAAAAAAAAAAATCTTTGCAACCAATTTTAATTGTATATCTTGAAGTACAACCAGAATGCGTTGTAGTATTTTGGATATGTTATCAGGAGGGACCCGTTCCTGGGGCAGGACATCATAGTTGGTTGTTGTTAATTACCGTGGAGTCGGTTCCCACTGGTAGTGACCTTGCACAGGGTTTCCGAGGCTGTAAAACTTTACGGGAGCAGAATGCCTATCTTTCTCCCGCGGAATCCTGGTAGTTTCGAACTGCTGACCTTGCGGCTGGCAGCCGGACTTGTAATCACTACGCTAACAGAGCTCCTTTCATAGTTGGTAGAGGGTCAGAAAAAAAAAAAAAGTAATATCTTCAAGGAGATGGATTGACATAGTGTTACAGTTACAATATAGGCATGAATGTGACGAGGAGGAGTAGGCAATGTTTTGTTCTGATGTACACAGAGTCGTATGAATCGGAACTGACTCAAGGGCACCTAACAACAATATCTTGAGCCTGTCTTTTATCTTTCTGTACTCCAAGTTTTGGTTGAATCGATGTTGTACTAAACTGTGTCTGTAGCTCTCACTCCCTATTTGCTTAACTCAACAAAGCAGAACCATGCCTAAGTTTCCTAAAATAAACAATTTACATATTGTACTGATAGCTCTCATCTGTAAAAACCGAATAACAATTGGCCTGAAAGTGGATTGTCTCTCAACAGCTATTAATATTATTTACACAGTCAAGGTCTGATACTCATTGGCACGACAGATCAGAACCTTTTAGGTATGTTCTATGATTCTGCTACTATTGAACAGGACTATATCAAGAGCTATGAACCATAGCAGACATATGTCACCGTTCTGCTCATCATCCATTGTCAATTAGTTGAACTCTGTACAAGGAACCCAAAATGGCGCCCTCTAGGACCTCCCCCACCCCCCTCATGCAACATTCCGTCACGTGACGCACACGAGCGTATTTTTTCCCCGCCATTGCATCAGCCGACTTAGAGCTGCTGTCCCAGAAGCTGACTAATAAGCTGATTGGTTCTCGGTTTGAATGGCAGGCTTACTCTACAATAATATCTCATGAGGGTAGGGCTCTGAGAGGCGCTTTCCATCAGCGCGATCTGATTGGAGGGTGTAGTGCAGGTTGCGCCCTGCGGTGACTTGGGGCTGGTGGCTGTACGCTTCTGCTGGGACAGGTAATCGCCGGCCTAGTGGTGGGCTCTGAGGGAAAAATTAGGGTCGGGGAACTTACGGAGATGCAAGGTTTTTAGTGAGAGTTCTGCAGCGCTGTGAGGACCGGGGCTGGGCCTTTGGGGAAAAGCGCGGAGGCCCATCGAGTCCTTGGAGCGGCAGGCCCCGCGACACCACGGGGACCAGAGCCTGGGTAGATGCCTGGCGACTCCATGGACCGAGAGTGGCCTTTTCTCGGCCCTCCGGAGCGCTGAGGACAGGGTGGCCTGGGGTGGCCTTACTGACGACAGGGACCTTGGGAGGACCACAGTTGTCACTGACTACCCACCCAAAGCTGAGACTTTATTGGCGCTGGTTTGAATCCCTTTGGGGTGGAGTTGGAGTCCCACTAGTGAGCCTTTCTTAATTCTTAAAAATAACTGAATAACTGACACCGGTCCGGGTCCACTTTGTAGAATTTTCTCTACCTACCCTGTCATGTGCTTAGCTATTACTCTTTGAGACAGTCTACATTTCCCGACAAGCTGTGAAGTGAATTTAATTCACAGATTACATTAAACCACTGTATTCCTAATCAGCATAGTTAATAATCACTGTGGTGTATTCTAGGATATAAATAACATTCTTTGAAACTAGGATATGAAAAATGAGAACTAGAAAAAGGCAGACCACTGATAAGGCAAAGAAAGGTCTTGTGGCTGGAACTTTAAAAACCTGTAGGCTAGTGTAATGTAAGTAAGGTACTCAAGACTTTAAAACCTACTGCTGAGCTGGCGAATCCATAGGGGGATTCCTTTATGGGACCTCTGTATCCCATATAGCCTTCTTTCCATGTTTATAGTGAATAAATAAACAATGTTTATAGGAAGACAGCTTTTGCAATCTAGCCTCTATCCAGCTTGTAGTCAATAAATCTATTGGATCGTCTGATATAATACTGCAGTTATTTCTATACATTATTGACAAAAGTTAAAGACAAAGACTTTTCATTTCTTTTGCTTCCCACTACATACATTGGTTAAGGAACTCTGGTAGTGTAGTGGGTTACGAGTTGAGCTGCTAATCACAAAGTCAGCAGTTCAAATCTACCAACCTCTCCTCAGGAGAAAGATGAAGCTTTCTGCTCCTGTGATTTAAAGACACAGAAACCCTATACAGGATTGCTCTATGTCAGAAGA